TTAAACAGCCATGAGAGATCATTTGGTAATAATTTGGGAGCACTTGTGGAGAATCGTATACATGATTTTGATCCTCTGGGGACACACAATATGAGTTGGATCAAAATCAGGTTATTGAAGACCCCTGTCTGAAATCCAGCTTGTTGCCTGTCTGCACTCACCCTGGCTCATCAGGATTTCATAATCAGAGCGATTGCCTCACAAACCCTAACAGTCTCAACTTTGGGGGAAGGGGGAAAATTGCTTGGAGGTAGTGTGACTTTCTCTTCCCCAGGAAGTTGGTTCTACCAAAGCATTTGTCATCATAAGGACACTTTAAATAAAAATTTTCAAAAGTGGCCCACAGTTTCCGGAAACTTTTCTCCTTTATGCACAGTAGTTAGTGAAGATGAGTCACATTTAGCTTTGATTTGATACACCAGCCACGGTTTAATTAAGACCTTCCCTGCAGATCCTTTTCCAGTTCAAGTCAACAGGAGCTCCGTACTCACTGACAAGACAGGTCCCATTCTTTCCCCTCTTGCTTCTATCTCTCTTCCTGTGCAGGAAGAAGAAGCTCGCCAGGTTGACCTCTCATTTTCCTTCCAGCTTTCAGAGCCTCGCCCTTTTTAATAACAGTATTGCCCCTGTAGATTGTGGAAATGGGAAATCGGGATTAATTTGTGATGTCCTCAATGATGATACGGCCTCAGGCTGTGGCGTTGGCATCCACTGACTGGCCTACTGGTCTTTTCTTACAGGTCTCCATCCTTCCGGAATAATGAGTGTGGCTCACCTTGACCTCGTAGCTCTGCAGGCAGGGACCTGCTGATGATGTCTCTAAGTCAAGACGCGAACTGTTCTTCCAAAAACTTGTTTACACTTAATTCTATGGACGACGTGATTGCATTTTGTAGGAAAGGAAGAAAAGGAAAGGGGGCGGGGGAGTAGACTCATTCCGACTTGCTCTTAAGTGGAAATGGTACACTTGAAATAGAATCTGAATGAGGAAATACAAGAACATCAGAGGGTTCATACGTCTCAGGGAAATTAGCTTAGCAGACAACACAGCGAGACGACTAATGCATCTAACGCAGGTGTATAGTCACAACAACTCTGTGAACTACCAGCCCAATAAAAGCGGTGGAGAGAATTAGGAGGAGTTAGTGGCAAGGGTGTGGCTCCACCTTCTCTAAGCACGTGTCACCCAGTCCCTTCATCTAACTCTTTGGACTCCGGGCGCTTCAGAAAAATGAGAAAACAAACTGTACTTTAGACATTGGGGCTTGGATTGTGAGTGCAAGGTGCCTGGCAGGCGGCTCCGGTCATCCTGAAGTACAGGCTCTCGACAGATACTCAAGAAACGAAAACCAAAACAACTTGAAGTTTGCTCATTTTCATCCCTGAAATAATTGTCTGTGCCCGTTGCCTCGCTTAGATTTTCTCTGAGCTGCTTTCCTGACTGCGGTGTGCTGCGAGGTATGAAGAGCAGCTTATCTCGCTCCGAGTGTGGAATAAGCCCTTCGCAGCCGCTGGTGTTAAAGGGCTTGACTTATCTCCTGTGGTGGCAGAGCACGCTGGCTGCCTTTGCTTCCTCGCCACTGCTCTCTGGACTGTTGCTTAGCGCAGCTGTCAAACACCTCCAGTGTGTGAGGAGCACTCTGACGGATATCCTAGGTCGGAGGGCATTTTTAGCATTTTTTACTTAAAAAGCATACTTAAACATGGAGTGTTTGCTCTAAGAATGAACAACAAAGATGTTTTTTAAACTGCAGGCTATGTAATCTCTTGTCACATCTAAATGATGCCCCTTTCCGGGCTGCCTGTGAGCATAGTCAGCTTGATTTAAAGTGTGTCCCACTCACTGTTCCAAGGGGCATTCTCGTGGTCAGATGCTTGGCATTCACGCGTACCTTTTTCTTTAAACGTGACCTTCCTTTCCTTCGTTTTCTAAGCTGGCCAGAAGAGCATTCCTGTCCTTGATTTCCTCTGTGGTTGCAGTGGCCGCAGATGTGAGGACAAAAGGGACACTCTCGCTGGACCCTCCCTAACGTTCAGATTTCCTCTTTCGTAAGAACTCTCCATCCATCTGAACCTGATTTTTGTGTAAAGAATGGCACGGACAATCAACATCTCAGTAAGCGATCCCTTATTATTTAGTGTTTGTTGTTTCCTCATTGAGCCATGGAATCAGCGATTTTTTTAACCAACTTTCCTTATTTGTGAACCCTTTCCCAGGCTCTTTCTATATTTTGATCTATCCCTACAATAAGATACTGTTACAAATGTCATTGAGTTTTGATAGACGTTAACATTTAGCACGAGTCCCCCACCTAATTTTTCCGCATCTACACAGCTGTTCTTAATTCCGTTCTTCAAGTTCCCATCTCTCAAGAGTTTCAGGGTCGGATTGGTGGGTGTGCGCAGAGACACTCAGTTCATCCCAAACCCCCCAAGTCAACAGACACATGCTGGCAAGGACAGCTAGGAAGAAGCATGGGAAACCTATTCAGGAGAACAATCTGGTGTTGTATTAAATTGGAAGTCTTACCTACTAGCCAGTAACTCTATTCCTATGTTTGTTTTGATGGAATATAATCTAGGTCCACACTGCCCGACATGACAGTCACTACTAAGTAGAGCAGCTATTAAAAGCCAATGGCTAAAATGAGATGAAATTAGAAACCCAATTCTGTTGCTCTAGCTGTGGTCTAGAATCCAGCAGTATAGCGAGGGGGATGGAACTGTGCCCATTTTCCTGGCACAACTATTAACCAGCTAAAGACACGTTGATGGTTAGCTTTTCTCTCACCAAGTACATACACAGAAACCAGTGAATTCTCCATGGCACATTTTTCTTCCTGGGGTGTGATGAGCTCAATTTTGAGTGGGGGTGTGTGGGGGTCTCTGTCCTCAGACCTTTGATATTAGTGCGCCCGGGGACTGGAGGGCAACCATTTGTTCTGATGTCCGTGGCAGTTGCATGTACACACCTGCCATTCAGAATTTTGGGTGTGTGTCGACATGTGTGTGTGTATGAAGATAAGCGGGTGCTTCTTCTGATCAGCGCATGGCACAGGAGCCTTACCGTCATGTGTTCAGGAGCCCCGTGTTGGAATGCACCACAGTAGAGTAGGCCACGGCTTTGGGGTATGCTCGTTGGTGGGCCTGCTCAAGTGCAATCTATTTCCGATCTGCAGTCTCCATTTTGCTACATGAGCAGAAAATTGGTCAAAACACCGAATTTTAGCCGGGCAGTGGTGGCACACACCTTTAATCTCAGCACTCGGGAGGCAGAGGCAGGCGGATCTCTGGGAGTCCGAGGCCAGCCTGGTTTACAAGAGCTAGTTCTGGGACAGGCACCAGAGCTACAGAGAAACCATGTCTCGAAAAACAAAAAAAAAAAAAAAACAAAAAAACAAAAACAAAAACAAAAAAAACCCCACCAAATTTTACTCAACTACCAGAGAAGCAGACAGTGAGTCATATTAAAGAAGACTCTTCCAAAGACAGCTCAGAATGAATGCTGCAAACGCCTAGGGAGGATGAGAAAGAGTCAAAGGTGATTAGAACCTTGGGGAACCGGAGAAAGTGGTAAAGGGGGGTACTGCAGCTAGCCTATTAGAAAGAGAGCAGAAAAACTTAACCAAGATGCCAAGACAGTGTTCTAGTGTCCGAGAATGCACCGAAGGCTGCCTGCAGAGTTGCACAGGAACATACCGAGCAAGCAGAAGAGATTCCATTATAATTGTCCGTGAGGGAAATCACTTCTTGGAGCTGGCTACAGAGCCACCAGGACAGCACCGTGCCTCCTGCTGCCACCAATTAGCGTGGGCCGTACGGTTAGCCAGGCTTGTTATTCCTAAAGTGGACACACAATCAATTATACCAGCCCCACCACCCCCTTACCAAGATGCTTGGCATTTTTTATCTGTTTAGTAACGCTGATGTCAAGCTGCTGGAGCTTTGGACTTAGTCTTGGAGGTGAACTTGGCAGAGATCTTGGTCAGTATCACGTATGTATTGAGATCAGGTATCACAAGCATAGGACCTGAATCCACACCTAGCTACCTGCCTTCTCGTTGCCTACCAGGTAGAAGGCAGGGCTGGGGTCTAGTTGCTGTTACTACCCATTCCTGGTCTAGTGAAATCTTGGTTACAAAGTTGGGCAGTTTCCAGCCCACAGTAATCAGATGGCCTGGGCTTAACCTGGGGCTACATGACTGCGCAATTCAGTGACTTCTGGGCAGTTGCAGGACTTCAGGAGTCTAAGCACGCAACAGGAATGAAAACGGGGTTATTAGAGGAAGTGCATTAGATGATGTCTGCAAAGCTCCTCACCGTGCCACACTCCAGACCTCATTATAATCAGGCGCTGGCTTTACTTCAGCCTGATCGAGTCTGTAGGAAAATGACCGCAACTCTCAGTCTTCCCTGCTTCTAAAAGCAAATACTTCAAAGTTTGTTTCTGAGTCATTTATATCCACTTGACTTGAAGTTAGCCCCGTCATTGGAATCTCCATGCATTGCCTCTGGTGTGCATTTTCTTGATTTTTAATATCTGCCCTACACACGTGCAAAACCGAACCCCATAAGCCCAGAATCCAGACATTCCTACCAAAAGGAAGTCAAATGAAAGAAAGGATAGCAGAGCCTTTGCGAAGAGAAAATTGTCTTATCCCTCACCAGTGTCAGAATGTGGAAATGTTTACAAAATGCTCATTAAAAGAAGAAGGGGTTGCAAGATAAAAATGAAATCTGGTGTACAAGTTTACGCTGGGGAGATAAGCGGAGGCTAGGCCCTATAGGGGATTTTGCATTCCAATTACTGCAACCTGACTTTTGGCGGGGGTGGGGAGTAGCGCAGGGGGAGGGGAAGAGGGAGGAAGAGTTTCCATACTTGTGTCGTGTCGTGTCCAGTGACATAAGACATTTACACTCGCTCGGAGAGATAAAACTGCCACTTAAAGCCCAGGGGGAGTTCAGCCTTCCTAGGTTGTCCTGGGGAACTGAGCAGAACCATGGGTTCTCTGGTCCTGCCGCTAAGCGCCGTCTTCTGCCTGGTGGCTCACTCAGTTTCTGGCAGCCCCATCATGGGCCTTGAGCAGTCACCCCTGGAAGAAGATATGCCCTTCTTTGACGATATCTTCACAGAGCAAGATGGTATTGACTTCAACACACTGCTGCAGAGTATGAAGGACGAGTTTCTCAAGACGTTGAACCTGTCCGACATTCCCCTGCAGGACACGGCCAAAGTGGATCCTCCCGAGTACATGCTGGAACTCTACAACAAGTTCGCCACGGACCGGACCTCCATGCCATCTGCTAACATCATTCGGAGTTTCAAGAACGAAGGTAGGCTGCCTTGTGTTTGCACCTGTGAGGCTTTGGCTTTCCTTTATTTCAAGAAGAAATCAGTAAACGTCAATGTGGGGATGATGCGGGAGAGGATGGATTCACAGAAATGCATGGCTCAGGCACAGTGTAAAACCATAAAATGCCCATCATTCTGGCATCAGAACAGTTTCTTGACAGCGTTTTAATCTGGACACCAAGTATCAAAAAAGCCCATAAATGTTGATCTGCTTTTCTATCTTGTCTGCCGCTTTCTACACAGGATTTGATTTCTATCTGGGGTTGATAAAAATCTGTCAGCTTTTCCTTAGATCAAAAATGGTGAAAACAATAAAAATAAATTAGAAATTTGGGAATTGTGGTTCATTCAAATTCTGGGTGAGTTTCCAATTGTGACTCCATTTCAGCAGTGTTCTGATAGAATGGATCTGTATTTGGGAGGTTCTTCTAATGCTGCGTCATATTTAATAAGCTGTGATAAGACCCCTGGTAGTGTGAAGAGGCCAGCTCACTGTCCAGCTTATGCTGACCGTAACTTCATGAAGAGTGATATACAAATTTCAAATTGTTGTTCCTTCCCCTCGGATTTTTAAAGGAGTCAGCGAGCTAACCTTGTGTATATGGCACTGGTAGAAAAAATTATGTTATTGATAGTAGAAGCTGTGGATATAGAGAAACTGGCTCTGTGTTATTTACCAATTGTGCTTTTATAGACATCAGTTGAGTGAAAACGAGGTTTGGTCAGTGTTTGCCAGATGCTTTCAAAGCAGAAGGCAGTGGCACGAAGCAGCTCAGCATGCGGAGAGCTAGCTGCCTTGGGAAGTTGTGACTAACAAATGATGGGACCCCCCCAACTTCCTCCTGTAAAATGGAAGCCTCGGGACACAAATGAGTGACTCACAAGAGGCTAGAGGCAAGAGGGGGCTCATTGTTAGGAAGTGCCAGACAAACCAAGATGACTTTTAATGCATTAATTAATATTCTAGGTGCAGGAGTAAACACTGAGCGGGTATTCCTCAGACATCAAGAGAGTGTTTGCTTTTACAATTCCACTGATCACCGCCATTTCTGTTCACTAACACATTTCTGGTAGAAACTGCAGGCTGAGGTTTCAGCTTAACTCCATCCTCTGTACTGCCTAGGAAGTCAGAGCTTTCCAGACGTGGTGCTTTGATTTCTTCTGGTGCAAAACCAGCATCAGATCCGTGTGTGCACTGTGGGCATCACCATGACAGGCACACAATTTCTGGAGCAAATGGTGTGTGAGATCTGTCAGAGACCCAATCCCCTTGCTCTAGAATGTGACTCCTCCAAGGATCTCTTGTCACCTATGCAAAGGATTGTGGGTGGTTTCATTTAGTTAAGGCTTGGTTTTGTGTTTGTGTTTTTGTTGTTTTGTTTCAAGCTGGTCTTGAACTTACCATTGTAGCCCAGGTTGGCGTTGTAATACTCACATTTAAATTTAAAAAAAAAATTGTGAACTATTAGTTTCTTTTGAGACAAGGTTTTACTATGTAGCCCAGGTTGGGCTCGAACTCACAATCCTCCTGTCTCAACCTCTTGAATGTAAGCTTAATGTTTAAAAGCACGTCTTTATTGACTTAAGTTGATATATAGAAATCCGCATGCATTTAATGTACAAAATCTAAGTGTTTACATGTTACACATCCACTGAAGCCCCCACTTCAGTCAAGACGGTGAGCATGCCCAAACCCCAAAGCCTCTTCCATCCAGAGAACATTTTCTCTGCCTTTCTCTCCTGGAGGAGCAGTGCACCTGCGCTCCCATTTTTTTGGGTTTCCCGGACAACAAGTGCACAGGTGACTCCTAGTTGGATAAACTCTCAGAGAAAGAGAGCCAAGGTCTCAAGGCGGAGGCCAAAGATGGGGGTGTGGAAGTGAGGCAAGAGGTCTTTCTTTCCAGGAATCAGAAGAACGTCCTCCATGGTACAGAATACAGAGGAGAGCATGCAGCTTTTGATTTTGTTTCTTCAAGCAGGAAAGCTACTATCCAAATAGGTTATTCATCCAGCTGGTCAGTTAATACCCACTGGGCAACCGCAGCCTCCTGTGTGCTATAGAGAATGAACAGTAAGCAAAGCTTGAACAGGATGGAAGCCCTGGCTACAGTTGCTCTGGCCACACCAGTGACTTCAGGGTCATCCCACTGCCACTGTATCAGTGTCCCCACTGCCACTGTGAAGATAATTTTAGTTAGCACCCATGAAATGTGTGAAGTAACTACGTGTTTTATTTATGTAAATTTAAAAAGTCCATACAATTACCAGCTTAAGGGCAAACCTTCAAGACTTTAGAGAATAAATATGAAGCCATCTGCTGAAGAAGGATGCTGAGCATAGTGTGAGTCAGAGAATCCACTGAGGTCATGAGTCGGGGAATGGTTGCCAAGGACAATAGAAGACCCTCGGTTGCAGGTCCCTGGCATCTTGGTGTCACAATTCTTAGATAATCTGATGTCAAGTGTCTCAGTCCTTTAAGAGATAAATTATCCGGGGTAGGCACACAGGAACTCTTGGATCTCTGCGAAATTCTCACCCAGAAAGATACTATCAGGCATGGTTTAGTGACACATGCCTACAGTGCCAGAAAACAAAGGAGAGAGGACTTCTGTGAGCTACAGACCAGCCTGCTCTACAGAGCGAGCTACAGGCCAGCCTGCTCTACAGAGCGAGCTACAGCCAGCCTGTTCTACACAGCAAGTTATAGGCCAGCCTGCTCTATACAGTGAGTTACAGCCAACCAGGGCCACACAAGACCTTGTCAACAAACGAACACACAAACAGTATGAAAGCATTTGGAGACATGCTTCTGACACTAAAGGACCTCTAACAAACTGTTTCATACAGATCTCAGGAGGTTTGTGCATGTCCAACTCCGTGCTGACTGCTAGTGAATAGCACTAAGGCAGGCCATCTAATGCATCCCCGAACCCCCCCTTCCGCCACCTCTGCCCCACCAGGCGCATCCTCTCTCACTCACTCAGGGAGGACCACAGGCTTCAGGACCAGTTTAGCAAGGTTCTGCTGACCTTGTTGAACCTTGTTACGTAGGGTAGGGACAGGGTCAGCAAACTTCCTCTCAAAGGCCAGATAGTCCATATCTAATTTTGCCTCTGCAGGGCAAAATTAGCCAGAAACAGCGGAGCAATCCCCGAGACAGGCTGTGCTCTGGTGAAACTTTGTTTTCAAAAAGCATGTGACAGTCCCAGTTTGGCCTGTGGGTGTAAAAACCCTGATCTGTGGAGACCTTCCGCAAAGACCCGTGGCCAGCCAACCACATGGAGACTACTGCCCATTACAAACAGAAGCTTTGAAGTCTGTAGTTATGAGCTAGTTCAGAACAATCTCCACGATATCTTGCAGGGCTCATTACTGGTCGGACAAAGCGAGGGCTTGTCTGCAGCGCCAAGGTTCTTTCTAGCTCTGTCCCCGTGAGGCAGCTCAGTCTGGGCACTACCCAGTTAGGCACCTGTTTTATTATGCAGCGTACCCGGCGAGTCTGATTTCTTATAAATATTTTTCCTTTTTAGGTCTGTTTTCTCAGCCTGTCAGCTTCAATGGGCTCCGGAAATACCCTCTCCTCTTCAATGTGTCCATCCCGCACCACGAAGAGGTCATCATGGCTGAACTCAGGTTATACGCGCTGGTGCAAAGAGATCGAATGATGTATGATGGTGTGGACCGTAAGATCACCATTTTTGAAGTACTCGAGAGTGTTGAGGGGAATGAAGACGAAAGGAGCATGCTGGTCTTAGTGTCAACAGAGATCTACGGGATCAACAGTGAGTGGGAGGTGTTCGATGTCACGGATGCCACCAGGCGTTGGCAAAAGTCAGGCCCGTCTACCCATCAGCTGGAGATCCACATCGAGAGCAGACAAAACCAAGCTGAGGACACCGGAAGGGGACAACTGGAAATAGACATCAGTGCCCAGAATAAGCACGACCCTTTGCTCGTTGTGTTTTCCGATGACCAAAGCAACGACAGGGAGAAGAAAGACGAGCTGAATGAGATGATCTCTCACGAGCAGGATCTGGACCTGGACACGGATGGCTTCTCCAGGGGTCCTGACGAAGCGGCCTTGCTGCAGATGAGGTCAAACATGATCGATGACTCTACTGCTCGCATCAGAAGGAACGCCAAGGGCAACTACTGCAAGAAGACCTCGCTCTACATCGACTTCAAGGAGATTGGCTGGGACTCCTGGATCATCGCGCCGCCTGGGTACGAAGCCTATGAGTGCCGCGGCGTCTGTAACTACCCTCTGGCCGAGCACCTCACACCCACAAAACACGCGATTATCCAGGCCTTAGTCCACCTCAAGAATTCCCAGAAAGCGTCCAAAGCCTGCTGCGTGCCCACGAAGCTGGATCCCATCTCCATCCTCTACTTAGATAAAGGTGTCGTCACCTACAAATTTAAATATGAAGGAATGGCCGTGTCTGAATGCGGCTGTAGATAGGAGTCTCGTGGCTTATTTAATAACTGTAGATGTGTATATTTTGTGTTCTATTTAATGAAACTATTTAATGAAGGTGTACAGATAATAGAGGTTGCCACCTTAGGGAAGCGGACAGGCCAGTGTGCTATAGAAAATGTGTATTTTGCTCTACAATCCAGTCCCTTCCATTTATCTTCTCCGGACTCTCATTCCCAGTGACACCATCTCTAACAACCAAATGCAGGCCCGTACCACTTATCCTCAGTGTCAGTTTGGAAAGAACAGCCCCTAAAGGGAAACAGTGTCAGCACACAGATATTTGTGCATGTTTGTGCAGGTGCGCATGGACTTATGAAAACCTTTTTATCCAACAGAGGCAGACGAGGCTCATACATGCGAGGGGCTTCCTCCAGAGTGTCTGTACTTTTGGATATGGGATTTAGGGTAAGAGAGTTCCTTAGACGGGAGTTTAGCTGTCTAGGGAAGCATAATTTCCAACTGTTCTGGGAGTGTGAATGCAGTTCTTTTCCTGTAGCTGCCATGGCTCCAGGCAGCAGACTTGAGAAGCAGTCTTCTGCAAGCTCAAGAGGTGGGTGGGGTTGTCAGATACACAGAACAAATGGCCTTGACAGGCGATGGTCCGGGAAATGCACTTGCATAGAATGGGCCCCTGGGCTGTGCTCTCCAGAGGGCGGGGCCTAGGCAAGAAGGCTGGGGGTGGGAAACTTCAGGACTGACTCCCCTCCAGTCAACAGGAGGCAAGGCTACCTGTGCCAGCCTTTACAGCTGTAGAGGGCCACGGAGGCGGAGGAGGGACAAAAGGAGAAGGGCACAGATGTCCTCAGGTGTGATGGTAAAAATAGCCAAAATTCTAATGGGTTAACTAAATCTTTTTTGGACAAAATAAAATGACCCAAGACTAAGAGAACTCTCAGAAGGGAGCTATTTTGTGAACTCTACTGAAAACATTTCGTGACGTCCCTCTCTTGCTGGCCCCCTCTACTTTCTCTTCCATCTTCTTCCCTTTGTTTAACTTCCCACCCACCCTGTCTTTTGTTTTCCTGTGTTTCTCTCTCTTCACCACCCACGGCATGGGTTGGGAGGAGGCATCTGAAAATATTTTCACACAGCTAGGGATCTGAGTTCTAGACTTCTGGAAATTTCACTTGATTTGATTGTAGCTATATCCTTTATGCTCTGTTTTCCATGAAGCAGGTGACTCAAATGTTGAGCTTAAACTCTGAAACCTTGGAAGGAAGTCTGTAGCACTCCCATTCTTCCCACTCTGCCCTCCTTCTGGTTTGAAATCATTGTCCATAATCCGGAGAGTTGAAAGGACACGGAGACTCTGGCTCTGGTCCTACAGCTTCCTGCTAGGGTCCTAGAGTCTGTACAGGAGGAGCTAGAGCAGGCAGGTGCAGTCACCCCAGCATCAGCAGACAGGTGACACAATGATCCACAAGGGGAACAGAAATATGGCTTCCAGTACATCGCCCACGTCTACCCTATGGGTTATAGATATTAATTTTGGGCCATTCTCAGCTTCCTTTCCATAAGCTTCTTAGAGTTCTACATTCAGATTGTTCTGTCAAGGACAGGTATTTTGTGAATTTGAACTTCAACCCCATATATCTAGCCGGTCAAAAAGCAAATCTCAGAGAGGTTGTTGCCCTGGAAGAGGAATATTTCGGTCATAAGTGGGAACACAGTGAGGGACATTGTGGTGGCTGAGATGGATGTTCAACTAAGAAGTATACGTGTTAGCCTCTTTCTCACAGAGTGTGTCTGAGCACACGCAGAAGTCTGTATACATGGCAGCTGGATTGGCTAGCCATGCCAGCATCCCTTGAGGAAATGGTACAGCCTTCATTCTCTATGGTACACCACACATACTCAAACTCCACGGTACTGCGGTCCTTCTTTCTCAAGGACAGTGTAATAGACATATAATAAAATCTCAGCTTGGCAGGAATAGTTTCTTCTAAGTTCTAGTCATGGCTCCACAACCAGTCCACGGCAGGCAGAAGCTCAGCCTTGTAATTTCCATAGTTTAGGTGTGTCATGTGATGCTGAATGACTCGGAAACTCCAGGAAAACATGACAGCCCGATCTGTGGAAGCACAGGCTTTCTGGCCACAGAACTCCACTGACATTAACATCTGATATCAGAGGTGTCAGCTCTTGTATCCGCCATGCCCACGGCTGCTCGCCCAGTCAGCTCCTGAAGAGACTGAGCTGAGCTGTTGAAGAGAGGTGACAGTTGAGGCTGTCTGCGTATCCCACAGGCTGCAGACACAGCTGGGGCTTTGCATGGTGGTCCTCCTGTAGCAAGGCGTGCAGATAGTCACATGGCGGATATTCAAGTGTGGCTGTTTGCATTATTGTTATGATTTTTGCTGCCTTATCAAAAGTGCAATGACAAAAGCCATAAATAGAAGCATTCTTCTCCCTTCTCCTGGGAGCTGCCTGCAGCCCGTCTCATTCACTGCCTTACCTTGAAGCCACAGAATGGATGGGTCCTCAGGAAATTAAAACTTAGAGATACATTTCTGTGATGATGAATCTTCCACCATGGCCAGCCCAAACCAGACTTGCCTTATTTTTATTACTTATGCCTTGATGGCAAAAGCTGACAAACCTAACAACTCTTGATGGAAACTCTAGCAGGGCACTCGAGCAGCCTGCCACCAGCATGGCCGTGTCAAAGTTTCTAGGCTTCATACTATTTATTGATTAATATATTTATTTTTGTAATATAGTGTAGAATATGAAATATTTTATTTTTATGTGTGTGACTCCCTCTTGGACAGAATAGCCTCCTCTGCAGTCCACAGTGTACTCTTGCTGGGGGTGTAGCTCGACTAGAATACACACACGTATGTCTGCCTCTGCTTTCGGCATCAAGCTGGTATTTTTAGGGATCCGGCCATAGCTTTGCATGTTTGTGTCTTGTGGGCAGACTGTGAGCCCCTCTCTGAATCTGCCGACTTGTATATAGCAGTGTTTATACTGAAGTACAGACGTTTCCGAACATCAACAAATGGTGTGTCCATCCCCTAAGTCAACCTGATCACATCATCTTGAGAGAGAAACATGGTCAGCTGTAAGCGAATGATTGCTGCTCCATTAATTGAAGTGGCATTTGATTGGACCCCATAAAAAGGGGCCTTTTTTTCTGAAAATGTCCATTGTCTTCCTGATCTGGTAACTCAGACACCCAGTTGTACCAAGAAAGTCCAGGGTACTAACGTAGTTCCTCTGAGTCCACCTCCAGGCATGCTACCCTTTTCCAGTGTGAGACTTTGAGTCTGAGAATTTAATGATGAAATACTTCAAAAATGATCGCTAGAATTTTTAACATCTTTTTTTTATAATTTATATTCTTCCAGTGAAAGATATATTCATATGAAGGAATTTAGGTCTCAAATTTTTACCAAGTTCATAAAGTGTAGCAGTGTTCAGGCAAAATCTTTTGCCATTTATATTTGCAGTGCAGTGTGGCTCCCCCTCAGTGAACCCCACTCCGTCCCACTAATCCCTCCACAAGTTCATATGTGGAGGAAAAGGAACACTGGTTTCTGTGTGTGTTTTCTTGTTTCCAAGGACATCTGATTTGACACATTTCGTGAAAGGGGAGAGCAATCCCTGTACCACACCAACACTAAAAGAACATTTCCACACACAGGAACATAGCTACACGGAAATACCGCATGGAGATGATCATTTGTGGTAATCTATTCATTTCTATCACACATGCACACTGGTGTTTGTAAGCTACTGGCCTAATTGTGGTGGGGGGAGTGATGCTAGCTCTTACCCTGCAGATTCAGAGGCATCCAGGAAATTAGTTGATACCTGGACACACCAAATCAGCTAAGCACAGCCAAGTTCTTCAGTAAAGCAAGTTCATCATTCATGTCAGATCTTCTAGAAGTTAGACCAAAAGGAAGATGAAAATAGATATCTTACACTCTGTTCATTAAACAAATGTGTACATTAGAGTCATTGTGTTAAATAAAATGGAAAAGTTATTTTGACAATAATCTTTGGCAGTTTATTTTTTGAAGGTGCAATCTCTCCCTCTTTCCTACTCTCCTCTTTTCATATTTCCACATCACAATACTTTCAGGTGGAAAAAAACTTCCTGCTTAGTCAGCAGGAAATGGTTTAAAGAGACAGTAAAAAAGCTGCTCTGAGATTCTGCTTTTATATATTCTTCTCATCCTATATGATTTTTGTAAACCCCAGGAACACTAACAACAGGGATGGAAAATGAATTGGCTCCTCTTTGCTCATAACTGGAAATCATTCCTTTGAATCCTGAGTGTACTATATTAAAGAGCAATCACTTTGGAAAGGATTCGGGCTATATTTGATTGCTCTTTATTACTGAACGTCACATGACCCCAAGTTTAAAGGGGGATGCTTAAAGCGGCCTAATGGGTCCTACTGTCTAGAAAGACACCCAAATTCTCTGCAAATATTAGTTATAAGACAAGGGTATCCTGACTTCTTAGGGACCTCTCCTGTGCTCGGTTTCACAGATAGTTTGGGTGACTATGTGGGAAAGTCACTAGGAAAGCACAGAGGATCTTTAGAGCCCCAGGAGATGCACAGCAAACATCTGGACATGTGAGACATGTGGCTCCCTGCTATGCATGGGAGCAGGAGGAGGGACGGGGCGTGCTCTGGGACGAAGTTCATTCTCACGGCATGCAGGGCTGCAAGGGCAGGGAGACAGCCTGTGGGAGAACTGGAGGAGACAGTTCCTCCCGTAAGACCTTCTGCCTCTCTCGAGTGGGCTCAACATCCTGGCTGGCATGAGTGACAGGGAGCACAGCCCTTGCTTGTCCTTGAATGAGCTCTGACAAGGGGAGGCAGAGTTCAGTCCTGGAGAGGAGAGAGCAGAGTCCTCCTCAAGGACACTGGCCAGGCCTGGACTAAGGGGTTGGGGAAGCCATTCTCATGACACAGCTTTGAATCCTTTAGCAACCTATCCATTCTTCGGTAAATAATGTCAT